ATAAGAAAAGAGTCATGTACTTAAGGTAGAACGCGACACTTTGCGAACTTTCGAGTAGCGTCTTGAAAATTGACATGCAAAAAGTTGACCATATTTCTGATTGAGTTCCGTTGATTTTATTTCAATAGTTTCAGCCAATTTTTGTACACACGCCGTCAAAGTTGACCATCAAAGCCCATTTTTGAACATGACGTCGTTGCGTATCCTTGGCAACTGTTACGGGTATTTTAATGCCATTGGCGGACAAAATATCTTAACTTTACAGCATCCGACGGCAACTATATTTTTCTTTAAGCTGATATAAAATTTATCGTTTTACGCCGAAAAATAATTGCAAAATAGAAAGAAAACTGTCAATTTTGTGTAAAATTTGACGTTCAGTTTAGCCGCAATTTTCGGCTGTAAAGCGGCTTATTTAAAAATTCCTGAAATAAATTTTTGATTTTCTTCTTTAAACGTACTTTAAAATGTATACTTAGTCAAAATAACTAAAAAAAATAGGGGGTCAGCGACTCAAATTTTTCGGTACACGTGATTTTATTTCCCCCACCCCTTGAATAATTTTTGTAACGAAATTCGACGTATGCAGATACGTTTGAGACTTCAAAGTGCGGCAATAATGTTCAGCTTATCAAGAGAATTGTTCTAAAGCTTTACTTATACATATGAAACAACAACAATAATGTTCCTTTGCAAATGCTTAAAATTTAAAATGAGACCTGACGATGAAAAAGCATACATGCATTTATATTTAAAATCTTAGCCTGGGATTTAGGCGTTGATATTTTTGCTTATTCATAACATACGCGCTATTTTTTACGAGCACGTCGCAATTTCTGATTGATATATACTCGATTTTCTGAACAGAAACAAAGACTGGAATCCAGACTTGTAAAGTCTAAATACAGGAACATTTCAATATAACGTGTTTCTTGAGCAAAAAGGTAGTCAGCAGTGACGAAACTTGCTAGATATGTAATAACAATTGTCTAACTATCATGGGCTTATCAAGTGCAATTTTATTGAATTTATAGTCGCCTTCCCATTTTGTGACGTTTATGTTTGCTGAAAAAAATGTACGAAAAACAAACAAATTTTCTTTTTGTTTTTAAGCATGATTAATAACTGCATATGGAATTGTAATCAGACGAATGTTCAGAAAATGACGTCAGGCGTTCAACGGCAAAGCGTACTCTGCGCAAACAAATACGGCGGAGAGTTATCATTGCGGTGTAACTTTTTTATATTGTAATACATTAAAATTAATAAACTTAAATCAAGAAATATGCCATAAGGAACAACAAACAACTATAATTTATTATATGTTTATGTAAATTTAGAAATTTACGGAAATTCAATCATAAATTTATACATGTACAAAAAATCTGCAAAGCTATACATTTTGCATTACCCACACTATGAGTGATATACTGTGAGTGAGATGTATTTTATTTCACCTATTAAAAACCAGAATTTGAATTTCGTTTGTAAGCAAAAACAATTACAACAATTTGACAGAGTTTATGCTTAATAACTGTGCGAAATATTGACAAATTAAAATATACGGTTCATAAATGAAATTAGTCAATTATATTAGCGTGAAGCAACAGTCATGTTTGAAACGTTAGCTCAGTGGGTGTTGGATTACAGATGTAGCACGTTCGATTCTACAAGTAAATAAACATCTTTAATACATTTTTCTCGTTTTGCTTATCATTTTAGAATATCATAATGTTAAAAATAACGTTTAATTGAGGATTTACCATGCACGCTGTATTAAAAACATCACTATCAAATCGGCCTTTGTTTGTTTGTTTCATTTTACGCCTTTTCCCAACAGTATTTCAGTCATATAGACGGGTAGTTTCCTAACCATCGTTGCTGGAGAGTTACACCAGTACTAGACTACCTTCCTCCGCGCTAAACTACAAAAGCATCTCCCTGGGATCGAACCCACGCCAGAGACGTTACTGGATTAGAAGTCATCGACTCTAACCCCTCGACCACGGAGGCGGTTAAAATAGGTCTTTGCAAATATTCATTATTCACTGTATATAGCCAAATTTATGGTAGAATTAATTTGAACAGGAAAACTTAAAAACAGTATATTAAACATGAAATATAATAAAACGCTGTAAATACACGTCTGCGGATGTTTAGCAGAACATATATAGCGAACCAAGCTGAGCTAGATACTGAACAAAGGAGTGTTGCGATGTAAATCTTTATACAAAATAAAGATATTTAAATATATATTGTCATTTTGTATCAGTACATGCTACGGGCACTGTAGAGGATCTGTCGATGTTTTACTGTTTAAAAATGTTATTCTGACAAATGTCATATCAGACTATTATTTCTTTCCTCTTGTAGAAAGTGAGTCATTTTGAAGTACATCCTTATTCTCTGTTTTATATACAAAATGTATATTTACAAGAATAAAAATAAATCATATTTGGTGTTATCTGACCTTGTAATTAAAAAATACGTTTTTAGTAAATACGGACATCATACAAAGTTCCCGTATATTACGATGTACGGATGAATGTATATTAGTCATATACGTATTGCATGATATACGGTCCCGTACATCTAAGTATTCAAATTTCACTTATTTTGCCTATCAATAATATTCGGAATTCCGTATTCTTTATTGTATCCGTATATTTTCCGAAGTGGTCATAATGGCGTAAAATTCCGTTTATAGCTGGATTTTGACACAGGGCGATCGTTTTAATGACATAAAAATAACAAACGCCCCGTGATAATTGATTTTTATCCGAAGGGGTGGGGGAAATAAAATACATGTACCGAAAACATTGAGTCGGTGACCCCCTATTTTTTTTAGTCATTTAGACTGAGTATACATTTTAAAGTACGTTTAAAGAAGAAAATCAAAAATTTATTTCAGGAATTTTTAAATAAGCCGCTTTAAAGCCGAAAATTGCGGCTAAACTGAACAAACTAAATTTTACACAAAATTGAAAGTTTTCTTTCCAATTTGCAAACAATTTTCGGCGTAAAACGATAAATTTTATATCAGCTTAAAGGCAAAAATAATTTCCGTCGAATGCTGTAAAATTTAAGATATTTTGTCCGCCAATGGCGTTGAAATACCCGTAACAGTTGTCAAGGATACGCAACGACGTCATGTCCAAAAACGGGCTTTGATAGTCAACTTTGCCGCCGTGTGTACAAAAATTGGCTGAAACTATTAAAATAAAATCAACGGAACCTTATCAGAAATATGGTCAACTTTTTTCATGCTAATTTTCAAGACGCTACTCGAAAGTTCGCAAAGTGTCGCGTTCTACCTTAATGAATATTCACGTTTGTATTTTAGCAAAGATTAAGCCGAGTCGTTTAGCGATTGCTTTCAACAAGGAACATTTACATTTTATTTACTAAGTTGATATAATGATAACCTTACTATATTTTTATATAAATGCACCTGATCACCAGTTTTGCTGATACTTCCTCAATCACGGGTCTTTTAATTTATTGCTGATGTTTACTGTATTGCAATACGTTATGTCTGTGCATTAATGTTAATTCAATTCATTTTAATTCATGAGATATATAATAATTCTAAAAGGGTCAATTCAATTGAATAAATGTTTGACATGCATTTACAATGATCGTAACGGATGGATAAATTGCGTGTTTTTAATTAATTTTAAATGGAATATTATTATTTAAAATAAAAACGGAAATAGTTTGACTGCAACCAAAATTCAAAAACGTCATAATACATAATTATTGTTGAAACGGTAATCAAAAAAGTCTACAAAGGATTAATCTAGTTTATGCGCATTGCATTTAAATACGTTATGAATAATTACATTCCCAAAAATCTTATAGTGGATCATTCCATGATACTTCCGAATTTCAATATGTTTTTACCGACGAGCAAGGTTAAGTGTCGTTGAAAACAACATTGTTTTTGAACTTTGTTCATAAAGCTTTTAAATTTCTTACTTATTTCTCGAAATGATATTTTGTTTTGGTCATTGTTATGAGCTGGACGACATTTTCAAGTCTCCAATATTCATTTGATGAAACATTGAAAAAATGTATGCAATGTAATTGTTAATTATACATCTAAACATGGTATAAATATATAAGGCTATTCATGGGTTATCCTTATCATTTTCAAAAATCGACACTTTGCTTTCCCCACCCTTTAAATAATCAAATAAAAACCCATGTTTTACGATTGCATATATGCTGTGATGCAACTGGTACGCGCTCTCTTTTCTTTTCATCAGTTAAAAGTTTAGGTATTCACTGGACCGTCACCTTACTTGACTAAAATATGTTTGTTAGTATTAAAAAGAGACTGACGACGAATACTACAAAAATGATCTCCTCCAGTATAACTTAATATTTCGATAAATACGTATAATTCCCGCCCTGTACCTCTATTTAATCAGCGGATTGTAAACATGATGTTTTAATAAGATCTAACATTGAGCCAAAACAGTGTTTTATTTATAAATGTCTTATTTACATGGAGAATTACAAAACAAATAATAATACAAACTTTCACCGTAATTTCCAAGTTTATACTTTAAACCTTTCAAGATTATTGACACCTTCTTCAGTGTTACCAATCAAATACTGTTTTATTTGTCAACACTACAAAGGAACTTTCGTGATTGGTTCAGGATGAAGCGTCAATTATATTAATCCAAAATTAATTAAACATAAGTACCATTCATTACAAAATATTTGTGATACGCTATAATAGTTCGGCTAATATTATAAAATGCTTGTACTACATAGAGGATCAAACTAGAACTTTTCTCCTGGCGTATCTATATTTTGAAATCTTATGCCCGAATATAAATGAACAGGTAAATGTAAACTGTAATGGCTGAAATCGTGACCCATTTCCGATTACTTACTGAAATGTTGTTATGAATATTAATATGCTGTCACATATAGAACATAATAGTTATTGTGACACGTCAAGTTGTTAAACGTAAAGTATGTTTCAGCGTGTCCACAAATTGATAACTGTAAAAGAAGAAGATGCACGTATTCATGGAACACGAAGTGTCTTGAGTGTTACGACGATAAAATATTCTTCAAGAAAACATTTGGCGACAGAAAATGTGAACGTAAGTTATTTTACATACCAACTGGAAAAAAAAAATAAGTTTAGTATTTGATTATAACAGATACTACCACATTTGTCAGTGAAAGTAAGGTCGCTATGCAAAATATTCTAAACAGCCGCTCTATAAATATGGTTTATTGTCATTTAATGCTTATCTGTTAAGCGTACGACATCTTTATTAAAGTATGAAGGTCATATACAATAAATATTTGTTCAAAGATAAAAAAAAGAAGTAACGAAAGTCTTTATGTGGTAATACCAAGTCATATGCTTTACTTCTTTCATATAAAGTTGTTTCACAAAGTATACCACAAAGAAATAAGATAAGTTTGCCTTTAAGTTAATTATAAAGATATTAATTTTGCAGTACTGAACAGCTGTAGAAATAATACCTTGTAATGGATTAAGGCAATCAACTGGTGATCATATACCTGCATTGATATTTTTTTCAATGTAATTTTTAAGAAATAAAAAATAATTAGTTACTCTGGTGAATTATTATTGTCTGATAATTGAAAACTATAATGATATCATATGAATCTACTGTAGTGAAACATTTTGATCCAAATTTAACAAGGTAAACATAAATTGAATTAGAAGAAACGTGTGGCAAATTCTTGTAAGAGACCTTTTAATGAGTGTAACCGTTAAAAGGTATGTTTTAATCGAACAGGTTTGTGCTCTTGGAACAATCATTACTGTTGGCCTGGAAAATGTGGTGAAGATTTGACAGGAGAATGCACTTGCGCGCAAGATTTCAAAATCATACAAAAAAGCGGAGAAACTTCTTGTCAGCCAAAAAAGCTACCATCAATTTTAACATGTGGAACGGTTGCAGTGGGCCCGAATATGGAAAAGAAACAGGCGAGAAGCAGCACAAATTCTACAGAATGTCAATATCTTGCTGATATGTATGGTAACTTCCAGCCGTCGTCATTCAAATTTGATGTCGCAACGGAATATACAGTCAACATTACAGCCTTTACGAATCCGGCTTTTATCAGCGAAACAAACTTTGGTATAACCGACTTTTCGATAGATATCGTCAAAATCCTTGTGAATGGTAAGAATTTCTTTCAAAATAAGAGTCTGCTTTATTTTGCTATCTAAGATATGTTTAGCATATTTAGACACATATTTAAAAGGATCATACACTATACATTACATGTATACATTATATGTATCCAGGATTTTCATTAAAATTATAATCATGCATATTTGTTATACCAAAAAAACATGCTTAATGTCATTTTGTCTCTGAGCTCTTTACGTTGAATAGATCAAGACGATGTAAAAAGGACTACAATTTGGTATCAACATCAATTAAACAGCAACTCCTTTATGCAGATATTGTTTTTAAAATGGCTGAGTATACGTTCATTTGTAGCTAAAATATAAATTTGAATACGAAATGAATGTATCATGTTGAAACTGATGGTTCGATTACTTATTATTACTAGGAAGGCGTTCTACCGAAAGTCGTATCAATCAATTAGTGGACAACTCTTCAAGTGTTAATTGTTCTCAGACATATTTCCACTCGGATAATATTACCGTTAACTCTTCTAACTTTGATCTTCAAGATGGTCAAGCGTAAATATTGTTTTTTTTGTTGTTGTTTTTGTTTGTTTTGTTTGCCTTTTTCTTATTGCATATAATTGTTCTTATTCATTTACTTCATCGGTATGATCTGAAAGTGGGTATGAAAGAAATATGTTGATATTTTTTACATGAATAGCGCATCGAAATCATTACTCATTATAACAAAATTTTGCTTATTTTTCGTTTGTTTGTTGTGTTTTTGGTTTTTTTTTTGTTTTTTTTTCTTTTTTTGTTATTTTAACCTTTCTTAATGTACGTATGTAGGCAGTCGGAGCGAAATTGTGGTTACTTCTTTAAAACACATACGTTTCCTCCTTGTGAAAAGGTGGGCACAGATTTTTGATGTTTTTTATTGTTACTACCATTTACATTATGTATAAATTATTAATACATTTGTACTTCCTTTTGTAGATTTTGTACCTTTTTAACAATTACTTTTTAAAGATTATGTCTTCAGGTCGCCGTCGTCGGTACAATCTTACTAGTATTTAGCCTGTATCAGTTTAGGTAATGAATGATTTAAGTGCTTACCGCGCGGCGATCGGTCTTTTTTATAACAGCACTCAGAGGTTGCTTAAGAAAACTCGATACTGTAGCTATCCGTATAAAGCGTTAATGAAAGTTTTTATCTATTTAATGCAGTATGTGTTATTAATACGACGTGCTACCCGGTTTATCTATTTGAATATTGTCAATCTTTATTTTGGGGTATTTGTTTCTTTATATGTCGGTAATCAATTGACAAATGAACTTGTTAACTTGTTCGAAGCATCGAACATGTTATCTCAGTCGTTGAACTTACATTTTGCATTTCTTTTATCAAATCTTATAATTTTATCAGGTGATATTGAATTAAATCCAGGGCCTAATGATATCAGTGACGGATCTTTATCAGTTTTTCATCAGAATATAAGAAGTATTCGGAATAAAATTGAATATATTACAGATAACTGGTTAGACTTTGATATTATCTGTTTTACGGAAACACATTTGGACAACTCAATCAATATTGACAGTTTGAAACTAACTAATTTCAGCGAAATATACCGTAAAGACAACACGTGTCACTCTGGTGGACTTTTAGTTTATGTTAATGAAAAGTTCGTATCTAAAAGGTTAATTGATTTGGAAAATACCTTACCAGAATCACTTTGGATTGAAATAAAAGACCGTAATGAAAACATTTTGATAGGTAATATTTATCGTCCACCTAATACAAATGTAGACTTTTGGGTTAGATTGAATATTTGTCTAGAAAATGCTTTTAATAAATCAAAAAGAGTCCTATTTGTAGGTGACATTAATGAAGACCAGTTAAACATAAGGAACCATAAACTTCGCGATATATTAATTTTGAATAATATGTATAATGTTATTACGGAACCGACACGAGTCGCAGACAACTCGTCAACTCTTATTGATCCAATTGCTATCTCAGACCAGAATTTAATTTTACATTCGGGTATTTTTAAGACACCGAGGAATATCAGTGATCATTTTGGCACTTATATTTATATCAAATTTAAATTACCCCAATCAGTACCTTACAAAAGACTTGTGTGGTATTACAATCGCGCTGATTTTGAGAAACTTAACGATTTAATACTAACAACAGACTGGTCATTTCTTTACTCTAATACTCTCGATGAAGCAACCGAAAACTTTAATATAAAATTTCTGGAGCTTGCGAAACAGTGTATCCCTTCTAATTACATAACTATCAGACCAAATGACAGACCCTGGTACGATTCTATTATTCGTCTTACTTCCCGTAAAAGAGATCGTCAAAAAGCAAAAGCTGTCCAATCCGGAGAAATTACCGATTGGGTTAAATATAAACAACTTCGAAATAAAGTAAATAATCTTAAAACACACGCAAAACAAAAATACTATAATGACTTAGAATACTCATTAAGTGACAGTAGTGAAAACAACCCCCGTTCATATTGGAAAACAGTCAAACAGCTTGTGAAAGAAAATAAAAATTGTGAAATTATACCCCCCTTAAATATTGAAATTAATGGAAATGATGTTATCTATTCTTCCGATACTGAAAAAGCTAATTGTTTGAATGATTATTTTGTTTCTATATCAACAATTGACGCCGCTAATGCAAGTCTTCCAAACTTTAGTACTAAAACGAATGAAGTTTTACAATCTTTTCAAATTCTTGAAATGGAAATTATTGATATATTATCGTCCCTTGTAATTAATAAGTCATCAGGCCCAGATGAAGTAAGTCATCGTATGCTAAAAGAATGTAAGGCCTCTATTTGTAAGCCTCTTTGTATTCTATTTAACCGTTCACTATCTGAAAGTATATATCCGGCCCCTTGGAAATCAGCTGTTGTCATGCCGCTTTTTAAAAAGGGTAATAAAAATATCCCTTCGAACTATAGACCGATTTCATTAATTAGTTGTACTGGAAAAATTATGGAAAGAGTTATGTTTAAACACATTTATAACCATTTACACGCAAATAAATTAATTTACGAAAATCAGTCTGGATTTTTGCCAGGGCATTCGACTGTGTATCAATTACTTGACATCTACCATCAAATTTGTTATTCTTTTGATAATAAAATCCCAACATGTATGGTTTTTTGTGACATTTCAAAAGCCTTCGATAGAGTATGGCACGAAGGACTTATATTCAAATTAAAACAATACGGAATTAATGGTCACATTCTAAAATGGGTTAATAATTATCTAAGTAATCGAAATCAAAAGGTCTTTGTTGGTTCCTCCTATTCTGAAAGTAAACATATCACTGCTGGGGTCCCCCAAGGCTCTGTCCTTGGCCCCTTATTATTTTTAATTTATGTCAATGACATTGCCGATAATCTAATCAGTGTAACAAGACTTTTGCAGATGATAGCTCTCTCGCAGTTTCCAGTTCTGATATTGCTTTTATGAAACGTACCCTTAATGAAGACTTAAATAAAATTACGGAATGGTCGAAACGTTGGCTAGTTAACTTTAATCCTAACAAAACAGAAGCGTTATTTTTCACACTTGGATCTGACGATAAGCCATCTCTCTACTTTGATAATGTTTCTCTTGATTATGTTAACAGTCACAAACACTTAGGTGTCACTTTTAGTACTGATGGTAAATGGCATGACCACATAAACAATATATTAATGTCTGCTTCCAAAGTTCTAGGATCTATGAGAGCATTAAAATACAAACTTAAACGGAAAACTTTAAATCAAATATACATTTCCTACATGATACCAATCTTAGAATATGCGTCAATTGTCTGGGATGGATGCGCGGATTAAGAGAAACACTCTCTTGAGAAACTTCAATATGAAGCGGCACGTATCGTCACCGGTCTAACAAGGTCTGTTTCTATTGAGCGTTTGCTTAATGAAATCGGTTGGGTATCATTGTCTGACAGACGAACTATTCAAAAACTCGTTACAGTGTATAAAGCTAAACAGGGTACCTTACCGGATTATTTATTAAACGTTTTTCCAGATACCGTTTCTAATAATGTACCTTATGTCTTAAGAAACAGAGATAATTATACAACTGTAGCACGTCGTACTCAAATTTTTACAAACTCATTTATTCCATCAGCAACGTCATTATGGAATAACTTGGATACCGACATAAGAAATTCATCCTCCTTAATATATTTAAATGCAAACTTAAACAGAAATACAAACATCCGACAGTTCCTAATTTTTTCTGTATCGGGGATCGTCTACATTCGGTTCTACATGCTCAAATTCGTAACAAATGTAGCAATTTAAATGCTGATTTATTTATAAATCATTTAAGAGAAAATGCATCTTGTGAATGCGGTTATGCTTTCGAAGATGCTGAACATTTCTTTTTCAATTGCAGACGGTATACATCACAACGTATTCAACTTTTTAATGCTACTCGCATTTTTCATCCATTAAATACGTGTACTCTTCTTTTTGGTAAGATTACCTATTCCGAAGAAGACAATTCATTAATATTTTTAGAAGTTCAAAGATATATTAAGCATACGGAACGTTTCCGATAAAATCTGCTTAATGCTGAAGATTTTTACTCTTAAAAAAATAAATTGCGACTGTCAAAAGTACATCCTCTCTCTCTCTCTCTCTCTCTCTCTCTCTCTCTCTCTCTCTCTCTCAGCAAATGATCTAACATTTCTTGTTCCTAAAATACATGTACTTTGTTATATTTCTCAATGCCATTTCAATGTAATCTATAGTATCAATACTTTTTTATATTCGTACTAGGGACGGACCGATTTACTAATGTTATTTGAACTTGTGGTCCAACCCTTTTTCTTTCAAAATGTATTTATATATTTTTCTTTCTATATATTTGCATTGTACATATTGTAAAAAATTGAAAGGAATAAAATATGTTTAAACTAAACTAACTAGTTCCGCGTGGATGCAGGTGGTTACCTAAAGAGCAAAGATATGACCACACACACAATTTCGGATGCAGTACCTTATCGAAAAGTCAGGAACACTCGTGAGCTTTGCTACAGATATGATATCACACCTGCAATGCACTGCCAAGAACAGGGGAATTGCAGTTACGATCCAATTCAATTTGAAAGCCGTGTGACGCGATCTACAGATATCGACTTAGATTTTATTGGTTGGTTTGACCCGGTTCCATCTGGTGGAAAATCGAACCAAGCATCTTCCATTGAAAGTTATCAAATAACGGTAAACGAGGTTACTGTATCAACAAACAACTTAAAGGTTAATTACCTATCAAATGTTTATACAAAGAAAGTTGATTTCAAAGAGAAAAGAATACCGCTAAAATTGGCCTCTGAAAAGCCTAGATTATACTGCGTGACTTTGGAAGTTAAAGATGTGGCTGATAATGTAAAACAAGCACGACGATTCATCTTGTATGACAATTCGTCTTTTATTGAAACGCGGGACGATAAACCATTTTATTTTACATCAGCTTCGATACAAACCAATTATAAATGGCAGACTCATCATCATGACATATGTCTTAATTGGAAAGATCATTTTTAATCAATTCTACTTCGACAACCCTTTGCTGAACCCCATTGCACCGGAACCTCATGGATTAGTTTCTGGCATTTATGAACAAAAAGATGGTATACTTCCAGTTTCTGGTACTCCAAACGTGTATGGCATTATACAGACTATGGTTTCCTGGACTTTAAATGATGGTTCCCCTTCTACAGAAATCAAAGTGCAAAATTTCCAAAGCCAAACTTTTTGCAAGGACTTAAAAGTGAAAGACGGTCAAACTTATACAATATTTATCCGTTCTATTGATATTGCTAATAACACTTTTATTGAAAACAGAACAGTTCATATTGACCGATCCGTACCTCATATAAACAATATTTGCCTCGTTAAGGATGGTTACAATGTCCTCTTTGTCCACCACATGACAGATTTGTCAAAGATGCAGTTGCATTTTGAAGCTCTTTATCCACACAGCGGCGTACGACAAATAGAGTGGGTCTTTGGTAATACCATTACAGAACTATCTTCAGGATCTTTAAGTGTAGGATCTCTGAAAGAAGTAAGAATCAATAAACCTTGGCAACTTATTTAAAATAATTTAGAAAAAAATGACTTAAGTATATCAATATATTTCATATCGAATCAAGATTATGCTTAGTTTAATGTTAGTAAAATTCTAGAAATTACTTAGGTTTCATATAACATATAAACGAAATAACAAACTTTTTCTATGAATTATTTTAATATTTAAATGAGCTCAAACATGTATAAAATCCAAGTACATTTTGAGAATTAGAAATAAAAGTACTATGATTCAAATTCAAATATAGAAATCAAATCAAGTTTTGGTAAATTAAAACCTCTATCTTTATTAGTTAATAACGAGTTAGATCAAGTTATATCATTACATCGGGTCAATACAATTTAGCTTTTTTTGAGTCAGAAAGGCAAATTATTCTTGACTTCAAAAATATTTTGCGTATAACAGAAATTCTAAAATGTGATCCAAGTCGATAATCTTTTTATTTACAGAACGCCTGCCCACAGAATGCTGAAAATTGTTACTGTCCGGATGTCGGACAATGTGAGATTTTTAACTATACTGTACCATTAAACAAGCTTGTTACCATCGATAAACATATTGGAAATCACAACAGAAATTACTACTTTACTTTAAAAGTTACTAACAATGCACACTTGTTTAACATAGAGCACGTGGATATATTGGTCGATGATTCCCCACCTGAGGTTGGCGTACTATTTGAAGGTAATCATTTTTCTACAGTCACCATGTACTGAGCGCAAATGTTTGTAATATTATTCATGCATAGTTGTCGCCCATTATCTACTTAGACCTTGCTTTCTCAACACGAGGCGATTCTAAACCTTAGATATGTCAAAGTGATGCTTACTTAAAAAAAATTGGCGGATCTCTCAACACTTTCCGTGATGACGATTCACTAAGACATTACATGAAACGAAATATTTGTCAAAGTATATCCGAGAAAATTCCTTAATCGTAAGGGACTTTTTTCACGGGGATATTTTACCCGAGACAAAACTAGACAAATCTTAATCTAAGTTAATGAGATTTGACATATCTTAGATCTGAGCGAAGATTTTGTCTGTGATAACATTCGTGGAAGTGGGTTCAGGTTTCTGAGGGCTGTCTTACATCAATATTTTGTCTTTACTATAGACTTCAAAATTAAAACTAGAAAAAACTATATCAGAATCTAAGCTGCAAAGTTGTGACAAATAAGAAAAGCTTATTTTATTTTTCTTAATTTTTTTTACAATATTTTTTTACAATATGGACTTTTTTTCATTTTTTCCTCCTCAACTAAAGCAACATTTTCTTAATATCTTGGTCCATAAATCTTATGCCTTGCATAAGAATATTTACATTGCCTTGTCTATATCTATAGAGCAAATTATACCACCTTCAACTACCACGATGTATTTCCGTTCCATGCTTAATATGAATAACAACTTACATATCATTGACCTAGGAAATAAGCTTTATCGGTATTTTTTATTATGTTTGCTGGTTAATACAAAACAGATGTAGCCTAACAAAAATAAATAAAAACTGGAATAAATATTTCCAAAAGATACGAAAAATGTAACTATAGACGAAATAAATAGTTAAATAAATTTTCCAACAAATTCTATTTATCAATAAGCAAAACAATTTCAGATATATTAATATTTTGCAGGACCTATGAATGCTAAAGACATTGATTATACAAGTGACGATAACTTTTTAACCCATTGGCATGGTTTTATTGATCATGAAAGTGGAATAAAAGAATACAGAATAGGAGTTGCATCTCGCTGTTTGAGCAGTAAAGAACTTTACGATTTCAACAATATACCTTGCATGGACTTCGTTACAAAGGTCCCATACACTGAGACGTCTACTCGTATTCCTGCAAACTTTACGGGCAAACGGTATGTATCTATCATTGCCTTAAACAATGCAATGGACCCATCAAAGGCAGTATGTTCTGATGGAATAACTCGAGATCTTTCACCACCTTCTATAAAAAATCTTACATTGGAACATGCATCGTGGTCCGAAACTTTAGTTTGTCATGACGGACGAGCATGGCTTTTCCATTCATCGTTAGCAAAAATAAAGCTTCGCAACGTATCAAATTGCAACGACGTGTGTAAAAACTATCGTCAGCTGCATCCTCTCGCGTCAGCTCTTCCAACTCTAAACATACAAGAAAAAGATTCAGATGTTTCGCAATTCATGTGTGAATCAAAAACCTGGTACCAGAACGCCTCGATTATTTACCTACCAAATAACTATATAAAACTGGATTGGGAAATTAAAGAGGATGGAAGCCAAATTGATGATGTTTTCGTAGGCATAGGAACTGACCCTACTGAGTTGCATGCACCGAGCATTGCTGCATTTAAGTCAACCTCGAAACGGAATACGTTTAAATATATTCATGAAGGAATTGGATCGGATGAACTATTCTTTGTCTTTTTGAAAGTTGTAAACAAAGCTGGTCGAGAAGGTGTTTCAATTTTAGGTCCTATCTTGATAGATGAAACGCCTCCGATTTGTAAAGAAGTTCCAAAAGTTAACATCGAAGAGGGATTTATCGTTGTTGGTTGGGAAAATAAAACATTCTATGACCTCGAACAAGATGAGAAAATCGATTCTATCTATTTTGAAATAGGTAATTCTAACTTATATAATATATTCAAACAGAATTCTGTCAGTTTGATAAAATGATTGTTATTCTCAATATTTACTACACAAATACTGAACATGATACGTATTTACCGTATTTATTTGGCTACGTTGTTATATCTTTATTATACATTCGTTTGATATAATCATTCATATTTATTCTATTCATTTAGAATCATAGCATAGTTTAACATTACTTATGCGTAATTATATTCACTAAATTTTCACTATTTAATCATGTGTAATCTTTAATACATCACAGGACATGACGACATCAAAGTAACACCATTGTTACAGTGGGGCCTTGGAACGTCTGCGCCATGTTACGGATATAGTGGTGGTTGTTTCAGATATCCTATCAAAAGACTACAAAAGCAAGATAATGATCTCGGTTTATACTTTTTCATAAATATGCACGTATACAACAAAGCTGGCCATTTCATCACTGTTTCCACAGATGCATTTCAGATACCTTCAATCTACCCTCCGGGTCACGGGATTGTATTTGACGCCGATCCGGAACATAAGTCACATACATTTGATGTTAATGCGCACTTTACAGCACATACATTATGTCTAAAATGGGACGGTTTTAAACATCATGAGTCAGTTAAAATCGAAATAGGAATTGGATCTTATAACTTGACAGACAATGTTGTTCCTTTTAGCACCCGCAACCGCTCAACCAATTATCACTGTATCAAATCGCCCAAAATTAAATTTCAACAAACCTACTATGCACTTATTAAGGCGTCTTGTACTGGTGGTTTGACAGTCTCGTCATCAAATGGAATCGTCGTTTTAAATGAAAGTAAACTATTAGACTCGTTAAATGTTTATCTTGGAGAGGAATGCTCAACTGTTAATTTAATACAATCAGAACATATCAATTCTACAATAGTAAATAATCAAGTGACATTTCCAGCTCAAGTAGGCAATCGATATAAACTCTCTTTTGTCAACAGCTCAGTTGCTTCACTTGTCACTAATGATGGTATAATTGAAAACGACACAGGCAATAATGCATTATATTTCGTATCGTTCAGTGAATACCCTGTTATTTACTTTAATTTTGCCCCCGGATCAACAAATCAAGAAATAGAACTACTTATTCATAATTGTCCCGATACAAAATATTTAACTAATAGAAACGTCGTCACGGCACATTGGTTTTATGACGATCGTGTGACTTATGGATTGGTATTTCAAATCGCTTTAGTCAGAGTACCAAAGACAACCAGAAATATATCTGTTGTACCATTCATGCAATATGAATCAGTTTTATATCGACAAACTCACAAGTTTCTGAATATTGATTTAGAACTGAACAAGTATTACAAACTTGCTGTTAAACAATGTACAAACGTTACGTGTCTCGATCCGGTATTTTCTAAAGATTTTAGCGTAAGTGGGGTACCAAAACCTGGCAAAATACTTGTGTCCAGTCTTTTAAAAGAAGCTGATGACCCTCGTGCAAAGATAGATTTGAAGTGGAATGCTTTTCAAAGTGACAACTCGATACTTTTTTACCAGTGGGCTGTTTCTGCTGACAATAAGGGAAATATGATTCTGACACAGTGGCAAACAATAAAAGCCAACAACAGAAATTTGTATCAGGTCAGTAGGTACTTTATATTGAAACAATCACACACGAATAATTCGAAGTTGCAGTTAAATTTTATTGATTGCTCTACTTGTTTTACTTTTGAATTCGCAAAGAGTATGTATCCTTCTAATGTTATATTTGTATATTTTTTTTATTAATTAGGTCAATTCATTTATTGATTTACCTGTGCATCTCCACTCAACGAAGTTCAGTTGTATCCGTGCTTTCGACATGGCAGGAAAAGAAGCTATCCTCTGTCATTACATCGAATGCATAACAAATGGAACTTATATGGCGTCTGCCATTTATGATTTTGACTCAAACTCGAAAGCCTGGAAGACTGTTCTTGAGGTAAGAGAAGATGTAATATGATGTTTTGTAAAACATACAATAAAGGCAAAATCTCAAAGCAAGCTCTTCGACAGAATTTATAAAACATTAAACTACATGTATAAGCATTGATTAAAACTTCCACAAAGATCTTAGTACACATGACCTCACTGTTCGTTTTGAAAGAAAGATATTCCGGCCGTTTCTTCGTGCTCACTATAAGTATATTAAGGAATTCAAATCAAATATTTATCAACATTTTCTAACAATTTTACTAGAATGCTGTACACACTATTATACTCTACTAGTCTTCTTTTAAAAATACTCCATAGCTCAAATATTGGAAGCCTATATACACTTCTTCATGACAACGAATTGGACTTTGGAACATCGGAAACAGAAGTTGTTGGTGTGATTTTGTATGCTGCCGAGCGGAATATCACATGGTTTTTGATGGAAGACAATCGCATTCCATTGTCGTGTGAACTAAGTAAAGAGTGTATTGTTTCAAAAGTAACAAATACCGGCTATGTATCATTTGAGAATACATTTACAAAGCCAAATACCATTCACTACATATGCGCTTACTCTAGCACAACATCAGTTATCAGAGAGGTTTATACAGAAGTCTTAGATGAAATAAAAACATGTAGCAACGGCTTTGTTCTTGATAGTATTTCCCCAGTAGCTGGAAAAGTTGAAATAAAAAACAAAAATGGTTTCCTTACTAGCCTTGATAACGTAGAAATTTCCTGGGATAAATTTGAAGATAACATAGATGCGACAAAACTTGGATATCCTGGCAATATAGCAGCATACAGCTATGGAATAGGTATAACTAGGCAGATTATTTTATCATATTTTAGTTTCCAAACATGATTTATAATATTATAATTACAGACAAGTGGGTTCAATTCTCAAAATTATTCAATAACTGATATGTACCTAAAATGATTGTCAGTATCAGATTATCAAATTAATATCAGCTTTATTTGTTTTGTCATTTAAAATCATTTAATGTAACACTACAGACACCTTTGCTCCAACTCTGTTTAACACAAAGTTGTGTGTAATATATTCTAGGAAGTCGCCCGCTCGCGGATGATATCAAACGGTTTACAAATGTTGGTTATAAGACAAGAGATGTTATCAATAATTTGACTTTGTCTGATGGATCATCGATATTCATAACTGTAACAGGTTTGTTAAAATAACATTTCAATGTTCAATATTATCAATATCAATAACTATTTAGTATAATCATAGATTATTAATCATTAATTTTTTCAGGTGAAAAAAAAGAGAATTGCCTTAAACGTAATAAATAGTCGTTTCGTTATGGGTATTATTTCTAGAGACATTTCGAATTCAAAAGCAAAAATTTTTCAGATAAATTTTCGCTTTATAAAGTGTAATATCTATAGACTAGTGCCATTTGCAAACATAAATTAACAAGCAATTTGGTGTTATTTGCACAGCAAGAGACCACACTGGAAACGCAGCATCAACATCTTCCAATGAACTCATTGTTGATACATCACCACCTTTGTGCGGTAAGCTGGAACTATCAACAACTGGACAAGTCCAAGACAGTTCCTATTATCTTAAAGATACGCAGATAATAGCTCATTTATTTGATTTCAAAGATGACGAAAGTGGTATCGATCATTTTGAAATTGGTGTCGGCACTCAGCCTTTATTTACGGATATATTGCCATCAGGTGTCTTCTACGAAAGCGATATAATCATAAATATTCCAGACCACGACATAAAAGACGGTCATACGTACTATATAGCATCAAAGGTAAACATATGATAGTCATTTTTTTCTTGTATATGTTTGCCAGCATATAAACAGTAGTGCTAAATACTAATGCAAATTACCATAATCTATCAAAATAAAAAACAATGCAATACGAATGGCAAAGTTTAAATAACATTCAAAACATTTACCAAAGACCGAATCATTATAGATTGCTTATGTATGTTAACATACATAATTTAAATTTGCTTCATTTTCTCCTTAGGCTATTAATAGAGCTGGATTATCATCGGAATTCACATATTTACGGACTATAGCCGACACTTCACCCCCAAATGGCGGTCATGTTTTTGAAGGCAAAAAAGGAAGTCGGGTAATTATGATATTCATTAAAATGCATGATTTCCTAATTTCTTTTCCATTTTTAATGCATGTATTTTTATTTAATCACATAAATTACTAATAGTTTTAATATCACATTTCATTGTATAATACATTGATATGCTATGGTTTTTGTCATAGAAAGAGGAAGATTATCAGTCTGATATTACGGAAATAAACGTGCACTGGGATGGGTTTAGCGATCCACATAGTGGAATAGTCTTTTATAGAGCAGCTCTTGGGACCAAACCATTTTTAGAAAACGTTGAGCCGTATGTGAATGTTGGACTTCTGGAATGTAAGATTTCATTTAGTTCATTATAATATGTAATTAACAATGACACATCTACATGAAGCCAGATTGGTGCTTAAATAAACTGATTTAAAACACTATATATAATGTTCATTTTGAAGAAACTCTCTGAATCTTAACTAAAACAACATATATTTAACATCACTGTTACTGTATAATGTTGATTTTACATTCATTTGCTTTTTATTAAGTTACTACGTGGCATAGAGAATTTTCTATTGGCGAAAAATACTTTACCACAGTAGAGGCATGTAACGACGCAGGTCTTTGTATAACTCGTTCATCTGACGGTATTACTCTGGACACTTCACCACCTACACCAGGCTCTGTGCAGATTGGTTCAGACGTGCTTCACAAGAAATATCAGTCACATACGTAAGTAATAAATTAAGCTTAATTATAAAAGGGCTACAACAGGTACTTATAGATAATTAACATTTCATTTAATGTCTCCAGTTAAAGTAAGTTATGAAAGCATTTAAATGCATTATTTTTTATGTTTTCACAGGTCATCAGTACACGTGAAATGGGCGGGGTTTGAAGACCCAGAATCTAGCATCGATCACTACGAAATGTGCATTGGAACGAGACCAGGTACATGTGATATTTCAGAACGCACAAACTGTTTATTGCAGTCTAATATAATCAAAACGGGAATTAGTCTTCCATCAAAAACACCCGTATTTGCAACCGTTACTGCTTTTAATAAACTTTTACTCAATGTAACAAAATCATCTGACGGCTTCTTTGTTGATGGAACATCCCCATTTGTTTCCATAAGACCATATTTTATGGTTGCGAAAAATAACATCGATGGGAAAATTGGTCAATGGGATAGATCTATTTTACATATAAGGTGGGAATTTCTTGACGATGAAAGTCCGATTGTTCGTCATTATGTTTCTCTTGTTACGCACCATGAAGGTCACACTCCTGTAGAAAATATACAGCTCGGAGCCGAAAACAATCTTACAATAAATTTGGACGGTATGTCATGGCTTCATAATGGGGATACGTATTTCGTTACCGTGACAAGCTGTAACCTGGCTGGTCTTTGTATTTCCGAAAGTAGCAATGATCTTATTATCGACTCGACACCCCCGCATCTCGGTGGTTTCAAACCACCAATGGTTTGGGAAAACTTGAATGGATCATTGACTACGTGGAAGTCTAATATAACACTTTCATGGTACGGTTTTCATGACCAGGAATCTGGAATTGGGAGATATTTTATCACAATAAGTAAAACATATAGCGGAAATGAGATAACAAATGGTGTGGCAACCGTTAATGTTGATGCGTCTGATAGTAAAACTGAGCATATGTTTTCATTTCTTACAACTGACGAGTTGGTAAGAGACGATAAATTGTATTTAACAATATGGGCAGAAAACTCTGTAGGACTTAACAGTTCATTGGCACGAGTTTCAGTATCAGTATTATCCAGTTCTTCCATAGCTGATGTTTTAAACCAGAAAGGTACTCTTGAACTTGAAAAACACTCCTGTGATATACAGTATTGTAATAAGGATTGTACGTGTGCAGTTGTTGGCAGACCATGTGTCGAGGTACAGTCAAACTCGACTTGCCTTGAAGTACCCACCCCGTTGGTAGATCAGGATGTTCCTAACATTCATGTTTTCAATGGACTTTATGAAAACTCACCTAATATCTCAACGTCCTCTGCTTGTCTCTCCGGAAGTTGGAAAGTAGGCGATGGTAAAAGCAACAATACGGAAATTTCACGTTTTGAATGGAGTATTGGTTTACAGCACCAACCTTATGGGGACGGGATATTTGATTTGAAGAACGAAATTCCATGGAATGATGTAGGATTGCAGTCACAAGTTGTGCATTGCTTACCAGTAAATAGGTCTCTAATAGCACGCGAAAAATATGTAATTTATGTTAGGGCTTGGCTTTCAAGTGATAGATATGCCACGTTTCATTCGGCTCCTATACTAATAGATCATTCGCCTCCATCTTTGAAACGAGGTCACACAGTTTTGGATTCCAATGAATTATGCAACATGGATTTCGATATAATAGATTGGATGGATACAATAACAGTGTGTTGGAATGGAGTTTTCTCAGAACAGCAAGGATTCATCGTAAATTACTTCCTAGCAATGGGGACGTATCCCTCTGGTATGATCTTCTTTACTTTTGTTTAATTCATCAATATTTCATTATATATATAGATAGTATGTATGTAAGAAGCTATT